AAAATATGAACAGTTCCAATAAATATTATTCTATTGAAATTATATATATTGTGTCGAGAAAATAATTTACAAAATTAATTACACCCCTCAAAACAAAATGGCGATATGAATTATGCAATACGATTGCCAAAAAAATAAATGAAAAGAAAAAAAGATCAATCCAATGGGGTTCATCAACGAATCGTGAAAAAAAATATTAATCGTGATAATTTAGAAAAAAAAGTTCGAAGTATAAACAAAACGAAAAGACAGAGCTATGAGAAAAAAGAAAAAGAAAAAGGTTTAGGTAGGTAGGTAGGTAGGTAGGTAGGGTAGATAGAAAGGGCTGAATAAATTCCTAGGGATAATCCTTTTCGTCGAAGGACGAAAATCGATTGGATGATGATCCGAAGGGTAGGGTAGGGGGTTGAAATGGGAGACGGACACCCTCGTTGAGAAACGGGTCGTCGTACTTTACACACACACACATATATATATATACAGGGTGGCAAAAAAAAATAAAGACGCGACGTCTCGTCGGAAATTGAAGAAGAGTCCAAGTTGAAAGTAGGTGGAGCAGTCGTGTGTCCAGGAAAATGAAAGAGAGAGAGAGAGAGAGAGAATAAATGTGAAGAGTGACTGAATAAGAAAATGAAAGAGAGTGAGCGAGAAAGAGAGAGTGAAAGAGTGAAAAAGAGAGAAAGAGAAGGGGAAGGTAGCAACCGTTTCTATTCCGGGCGTACTTTTGCGAACGATTCCTGAAAGCTCGAGGGTGCAGCGTGGAGCACGACTCTCTATTGATTTCTCGTATTAAAGGGAATCTACTGGTAAGCAAGTCAACTAACTACTTCCCTACAATATCTATCCACCGTACACTTTATATTTTACAATTTTCATTTAATATTTATTATTATTTATCCATCAAACACATTTATTTCAACTAATTTTATTTTTCTTCTAATTTTGCTTCTTGTTTTTCTTTCGTCAGTATTTTCATATATCTCTCTCTCTCAACCGATATAAAAAATATATGAAATATTATATTTATATCAATTGGAGAATACTTATAATCTGGATTATTGTGACAAACATAATTTTATTTTTTGTTCACATTAATATCATCAATGTTATATTTCAATTAAATGTCATTTGTGTGTTCACTTCATACTCGTCTAATATTTTTTTATTTAATATGACACATATGTATATATGTGCATAAAAATAATGTGCATCTATAAACAAAACGAGCATAATAAAAATTGCAAAATACCTCCCCCAAAAAGAAGACAGAGAGACGTTTTAATTTTTAAGTAAAAAGAATAGAAAAAGGAAAAAAAATACGATTAATTATTAATTAACATACAATTAAACGTAGTTTACAAAATTGTATCCAGTATCAATTTTAAAAAATATATATGCAAAGTTAAAAGACAACCCGTGATCTTTCATTATCGTTCCTCTTCCTCCGGTTTTACCTTTAGTGAATTCCGTTCGTCCAACGACCTTTCCTACCACCACCACCACCACCACCACCAGCCCCCCCCTGTTCCCCTGCGTTCTCCCCCCCATCCTTTCCCTCCATCTCTCTCTCTTTCTCTAACTCTCGTTGATGTTATCATCATCATTATTACCAGCCTTGTGACAAGTTTAATAATAGAATGAAATTGGATTTCACTCACCACGACCAGTGCGTGCGTCAGAGCAGTCGATGACCTCGACCTCCTTGGTGTCATTCCGACGACCTCGCCCCTCATGATACTCTCCACGACTGCGCAAACATAAATTTATTATTTTCATTTACACAACACACACACACACACACACAGAGACATTTGTTCGATTAGTTTATTACACAACATTCCCTTAAGAATTTTTTATTTTCGAGCAAACAACTGAAATTTCATATTACAATCGTAGAACAAATGAACAAATTTGATCAATTCGATTAAATGATTATCGTTGTTATTATTATTATTATATTCTATATTATTATTATTATTGTTATATTAATTTAATAAATATTAATTTTTGATATGTTTATTGTTTGTTTTTGTTTTTTTATTTACACAACATTTCTGTAAGAATCGTCTTCTTTCGAACAAACAACTGAAATCCCATATTCCTCCCATTCTTTATCATCGACCATTTACTAGTATTATTATTATTATTATTATTATTATATTAATTTAATAAATATTAATTTTTGATATGTTTTTTGTTTGTTTTTGTTTTTTTATTTACACAACATTCCCTTAAGAATTTGTTATTTTCGAACAAACAACTGAAATTTCATATTACAATCGTAGAACAAATGAACAAATTTACTAGTATTATTATTATTATTATTATTATTATATTAATTTAATAAATATTTATTTTTGATATGTTTTTTTGTTTGTTTTTTTATTCCATTCTGAATACGTATGGAAATTATTTAGCATTTTTAATGTAGTAATCAAATAAAAAAGAAACAAAATACACGATAGAGAAGATTAAATAGGAATAATAAACGGGACTGGAATAAATTCGAGTCAACAATATAATAAAATAAAAACAAACGAAAAGATTATGGCGTATCTGAAACTCCGTTTAAATGTTTGTTAGGGGAGGAGGGGGAATACTATTGTAGGGAAATAAAAATATTCGATAAACGGGATGAATATATGAACATTGTGTTGAAACTCTGACTAATATTAACATTGTTTACAATTAAAAATGTATCAATCGTATATAATTGTAATATAAATCAATATTATTAATCAAATATTTACCTCCATCTCCGATCAAACGCATTTGTACCAAACTAGGATCCTCATTGTGATCTTCTAATACAGTGTCGTCGGTTACAGTCAAATCCTTGTCAAACAATAAATAATTATTCAATTATTAATATATATACAATCTCTTGTATGCAAACATATGATTTTATTAAAAGCCCCCAATTGCCAGATTAATTAAATTCGACAAAATTCAACGTGGCGTTTACGTTTGATCATACATTTCTTTCCACGAGTCTGACTCGTGATATTAAACGGGGTATGTTCAATAATAATTTTCACGAGTCTGACACGTTATAAACTTCATCCAAAATAATTTTCACGAGTCTGACTCGTGATATTAAACGGGTTATGTTCAATAATAATTTTCACGAGTCTGACACGTGATACACTTCGTTGAAAAATAATTTTCACGAGTCTGACGCGTGATACACTTCGTTGAAAAAAATAATTTCCAAGAGTCTGATTCGTTATATTAAACGGAGTATGGTTAATAATAATTGTCACGAGTCTGACACGTGATAAACTTCGTTGAAAAAATAATTTCTCAACGAGTTGTGACACGTGATACTAAATATATAATCTAAAATAATTGTAACGAGTCAGACACGTTGAAATAAGGCACAAATTTGAGTTTATATATAATCTTATTTTAGGATGAAAATAAATAATAATAATAATAATAATTATTAGGTATATATTACCTTTGTAGATTCGTTGTATCCAACTATAACAGCAGTGTACCACTGTGTCGTACCTTCCGCACGATAAACCTCGACACGGAACCCAACAAGGACACTTGGTGTCGTCAAAAGGATCCTCTGACCGTCCTGCATTTCTGCCCATCTTCGGACAGCACCGACCCAGGGCAAGCTACCCTTCGTTAACTCCCATTCCTGCTGCAGAAACGTTTACAAATATTTCATTACTTGAAATAACCTAATTTCTAATTCTTTTCCTATATTCATCCACCTAATTTTTCTATGGGACACAATTCAACAATTATTCACGTTTTAATTTTAATTCAACGATTGTTGATTTTAGTAAGAAAAAAATAATTTATTCTCCTTTATATTCTTTCTCTTTCATTTGTTAAATATATTTTCTTTTTATATTGCGTGTTTATGATTTTAATCGATACGATATATTTTATTTTAATAACGAAGAAGAACAAGAAGAAGAGAAAAATAAAATTTCAATCTTTTTTCGAATAAAATGTCAAGGAACAAATATGTTAATGGTATTTTTTTTTTTTTTTTCGGATTTGTTTATTTAACTATCTAAACTTGTCGGAAGGGGAGGTCGTGTTTTCATTAAAATTTCATACGTCTGAAAAGATTTTCTACCGCGGAATTATATTTCTAGGCTTTTTTCTTTTTCTTTTTTTCTTTCCCCTTTATTCTGTGTTCATATATCGTGTCCGGTCTTATCCGGTCTCTAACTCGTCGTAAAAATTCTATGCAAATTGACGACTTTAGCAAAGCGAACCTCGAAGACGACTTTGTTCGAGAGACGAGTATTACAAACTCGTAGAATAATTTAACGTTCGAGAAAATCGAATCTTCGAACATTATCAATCGATTTTTTATCTATAATATATTATAACAATTGTGAAACAACAAATTACAGGCTAACTTTATGAACTTTGCTTTTAAATTATATATATATATATATATATA